TTGCCGTTCTCAAGCTCGCTTCAGCCTTGAATCCGCTCCGCCGCCACTAGGCCTCGGGTGTCGCCGCGCCGCCCTGTCCTGACACCCCTTTCTCCTCTTTCTTTTTTTTTTTTTCTTTTCCCCCCCTTTCTCACTTAACGCTGCCGCCACCTCCCCCCTCACGGGTCTCCGTCGGCGGTTCACGTGGTAACTGAAAAGACCGACAGAGGCAGCCAAAATGGCGGAGCTCGAGGGCTTTCCCACCCGGGTCACACCTCCCAACGCGCAGGCGCGGTGACCCTCTCTCCCCACCCTCGCTGCACCGGAGCCTGCCGGGAACGCGGAGGCCGGCAGGGCCTGCGGAACGGCTGATTCTGGGTTGGCTCTGCCGGTCCTTCCAGTGCTCAGCTCCTGGGAGGGCAGCCAGCGGTGCTTCCGCCGCCTCTTCGTCGCAAACAGCCTTTTTGCTCCTCCTCGCTAAACCGGCCTTTCACTCATTGGGGTAGACTCGCCCAGGTGTTGTAATCGTAGCTTGAGCCTCAAATGCCAAAATGCCGACGGAGGTGTTTTAAGAAGATGTAGTCGTTCAAGGCCCAAGTGCCTATATTTGAGCAGAGGCGAAGGGTAAGATGAGAAAACCTTCGCCTAAGTGGGGACTTGTGAACCGATCCGAAGAGGTGAGGGCTTAATCGTCTTTGAAAAGCGTCAAAGAGCTTGACCTTTGAAATGGACTTGACTGGGTAGGGTATCTGTGGTTCTGTTGACTATGGTTAAGATAGCCAGGAAAGGTCGTTAGCCAGATTCGAAAAGGCATGTTTGTACTGCCAAAGGAGCCTTTGAAGGTTGAAGTATGTGTTTATTTCATTGCTGAAGTCATATAATGGGTTGAAGTAAGAGCTGTGTGAGTCACCTTGATGTAGTAGAGTCGAGGGTCGGAACTCCTGGAGTTGACTTCTAATTCATGCTTAGGATTGTAACTGTTGAACCACCTGTTACCAGAAGTCCTTAAACCTTAGAGGCCAAACTCCACTCAGCAAGATTAGGCCTGAAAGTGAAGAGGATCCCTCCCACCAGCAGACATTTCATTAACACTTGACAATAAAACCTTTACAGAGTGACATGCCATTGAGTCATAAGAGCCATTTTACCCTCAATTATCTCGTGCAGGCCTTGTAGTATTCTTTGCACCATGAATCATAAAGATGTGCAAGAGTTTGACATTTTTCAATCTTTCTTTTTTAAACACATACTTTGTGGTTTTCAAATTGTTCTTTAACTTCCCTAGTCTGCAGAATGAATTCTAAGACATCCAGGGCTACCCAGAGAAACCCTGTATCGAAAAAAACGAAAGATCGGGATTATAGAGGTCAAACCTTAGGGTCTCCTTGAATACTGTAATCTCTCGATAAAGATTTAGGAAAATTAGGTTGGTGAGATGGCATGGTGGGTAAAGGCTCTTACTATGCAAGCCTGACACCCGAGTTTGAACCCTGAACTCACATAAAGATGGAAAAAGAAAAAGGGCCCCACAAAGTTATTCTCTGCTCTCCATATTGTCACATATAAATAATAAATGAAGTTATGGGGCTGTCGAGATGGGGCTCATTGAGTAAGAACCCTGTTGCTCTTGCAGAGGACCTGGGTTGGGCCCCAGCACCTCTGAAGGCACCAGCTGTGCACAGGGCACACAGCAGGCAAAGTACTCATACATATAAAATAAAATTCAACACATACAAAGACATAGATAAATAGCTTTTCTTCGAGTGTGTGCTGTTGGAGCTCTAACCTGGTGCCTCATGCCTGCCAGACAAGCACTTCTACCATTGAGTTAGCTATACCCACAGCACTAGAAAACCAACTGTTTTTTTTTTTTAAATTGTACATACAATTTTTTAAGTTGTAATGTTTTATTAGCATGTTAATTATACACGATGTTTTTCATTATTTTCATATATGTACATGATATATTTCAATCTTATTCTCACATATACATATCCCCCTTACCATCTCTTGTCTGCCTCTACTGCTGTCAATCCTCTTCCCACTAAATAGCAATTTTGTTTGTTTGTTGGTCTTGCTAAGTAGCCCAAGCTTACCCTGATCTCACTTCCTCCTCTGCTTTTTAAATGCTAGGATTGCAGACATAGTGCCCCATCCAAGTCTAAACAGCAGGGTTTTGGGTGGGGAGCTTTTGTTTGTTTTTATATAAAGATTTTTATTTTTATTCATGTTCGTGTGCAAGTGTGTGGATACTGTTACCCATAGAAGTCAGAAGAAAGTGTCATACCTTGAAGCTGGAGTTACAGTGGTTGTAAGCCACCAACTTGGATCCTCTGGAACAGCAGTGAGTTCTCTTAGCTGCTCAGCCATCTCTCCAGGCCCAAACAGCAGTTTTTAAGGTTCAGTGAATACTGGTCTGATTACAATATTGATCAGATTCGTTACTGAGTTAAAATGTGCCTACAAATAATAGTCTGACCACACAGTCAATGACATGATAGCCTGAACTCAGTAATAGATAAACTATAGACTCCAATCACTACTACTTGGCAAATAGAAATTGAATTGGATCATAATTGTGCATGACTTTATTTATAAATGAATGGGAAAAAAAAAGAAATTGGAGTTGGGCCTTGAGTGCTTCTTGTGCTTCTGGGAAGTTACAGCCAAGGTTGTATGGCACTGCAGCTGCTGAGGACCTTGCATCCTTCCCCATCACTGTGCTTAAAAGGCTTCCTCCTCCAGCTGGGTGTAATGGTGCACACATGGAATCCCAGTACTGAGCGACTAAGGCAGAAGGACTTCAAAACCATAGTAAAGCCCAGCACTCAGGAAGATTACCTTGTTTGGAAGACCAGAGGCCAGTTTACTTACATTTTATAGAAAAACAACATTAAAGGAACCTGCCACCCAGACTTAACAAAATAACAGCCACATTTTGGGATGTTTGTTTAATGTTTGTTTAATAAAACTTATGTATACAAGAAGCCATCCTTCTTTAGGTTTTGTTCTTTACCCCCTCCCTTGGACACATCAGTCAAGTAAGATGTTTCCTCATGGAAAAATCCAGGGCTAAAACTTGTTTTCTAGGTGTTAAATCTCCCTTCACCTAGGTCACAAATCAGGATTTTAGCATTTAAATTCAGGATATGGTTTAAATAAATGTTTAAAAAGATGCCTACCAAACTAGAATAGCTATTAGCTCCCAGCTAGGTTCTTTTCAAAATGAGTTTCATCTTTAGCTGCTTCTTCCAACTCTAGGGGTCCAGTGAGCTCTAACATACTGAGAACGTTGTGCTCATACTTCATTGCTCTCCAAACTATACACTAGGAAAAGGACACAAGGATCAGAGTTCTGGAAAACAAAATGGACTTTCCCAGCATAGATCCTGAAGCTGGCAATGTGCTTACTGGTTCTGTACACTCTGACAAAAGGTAGCATCTGTTTCAACTTGTTGAAGACTAGCAAAAGCTGTGTCAGGACAAGCTCTGGCGGTGTGCTGTAGAAAGAGTATACAACTCTTGCTGAGTGGACAAGAAGCCAGTAAGTCAAGAGCCAACAACTGACTCAGCGCATTAGTAGGCTGGTTTGCTTACTTGAGCATGAGCCCAGGAGGCTCAGACTAGGTTACAAACTAAAGTAACTCAGGCTGTTAGTAACATGTTTAGCCACAATGCACAATGTCATTATTTTACCTTCTATTGGTAATTTACTTTCTTTTCCCCTCTTTTTTTTTTTAATACATGTATTTAGTGTGTATGTGTGTATATATGTGTGCTTGTCAGAGCACCCATCTGGAGGTCAAAAGAAAATTAGTAGAAGTCTATTCTCTCCTTCTATTAAATGGGACATAGCAATTGAACTCAAGTCATCAGGCTTGACAGTAGGTGCCCTGGTTTTGGCTTATCTTTCTGTACCCCCCTTTTTTTTTTTTTT